TACCAGACAGAGGTGGCAAATACCAGACTGTCCAGGCGGATTCCGGACACCTGGCAACCCGACTTGCAGCTGGCCCAGTTCAGCAGCAGGGGGATTTTACCAGACAGAGGTGGCAAATACCAGACTGTCCAGGCGGATTCCGGACACCTGGCAACCCGACTTGCAGCTGGCCCAGTTCAGCAGCAGGGGAAGGCCTGGGCTTGCCCTGCATCGCTACTGCCTGTCAGCCCTGCCTGCTCTTCCAAAGCTGCCCGAATCAGATCTGGGAGACAGCAACACTCTGGCCCCTCCTCTGGCTGGTCGGCATGGCCGCTCTGGGGGAGTCCAAAGGATGACCCCTGGGTGCCTGGCCCCGGTGTGCACAGGAGCCCTCCTGCTGTAAATGGCATTTTGAGACAGCGGAGTTTGCTGCCGGTTGGAGTGGGCGTGTGTGTTAATGAGCAAGCGAGCAGGAACTTTTAGAACGGCCCATGGTGCCCGAGGGAACCTGTTCTTCATTCACAGCCATAGTCTGGATGTCAGCTCCAGGCAGTCCCTATGGAGACTGTCGACACTTTGATTATCCCCCTATAATCATTCAGTCTCTTCACCTTCCACTTCCTCGCATGGTGGTGCCGGCCTGGCCTATTCTTATTCACGGCATCGCCCCCCTCTCAGCGCGCTGACACCCGAGCGGGCGGCCGCACAGAACAATCGGGGACAGCCGGCGCTTGGGGGAGGGTCAGGGCTGCTTTTAGTGAGTTCGGCAAAAGCAGCATTTTGAAAAGACAGTGCTATTTGCAGGCGGGTTACATCCATCTTTTATAAACACCCACCTGCCATCCCATCCTCCCCCCTCCTCTCCATGCCACCCCAATCAGAGGCAGGCCTGGCAGGGACAAGGACAGTCAGGTAGGGATGTGCAATCTGTGTCAGAAGTGAAAGTGATGGGGAGCGCATGGGAGCGAAGAACAGCATCCTCCCCCAGCCCTCTTCTCCGAGGGAAACTAGCTGGCAGGGTAGAAAAGGGTGAGACCTGGAGCACTTCTGTGGCGGGAGTTGGGAAGGGCAGAGTAAAGGGTAAGATCCCCAGGAGGTGACTGAAGTTCAGTCTTTCATCTTCTGCCAAAGCGGAAGCTGAATCCCCCTTTCTTCCTGTTGTAGCTGT